AACTCCCACAAATCCACATTCACAATATTTATCGCCGCACGTTTTTCATGGACGGAACTCTCTTTGTTCGGCGAATGGTAAGATTTTTTTTTTTAGTTATCATTTTACACGTGCAGAAGTGAAAACAGAACTTACGTCTTTCTTTCGTCAGTTTTTATTTGTTTTTAATTATTGATGATTGAATGAGAAAAAACAACAATATAACATAACATAAAATATGTACTGTTTATTCACCGTTAGGGATATAAATACTTACAAATGGTTTTCAAAAATAGATTTTAGAAAATTGGAGGAATTTTTATGAATTTAATATGTGTGTGTATGTGTAAATCTTTATGAATCTCTCTTTACTTGAATTCTTATTGATTTACGTTGTTGAATTAGTAAAGCTCTTAGATTAAATTACATTTTATCTAAAAAGAAACAAATACGAAATAAAACTTTTCACTCGGTATTACAGTACAAGTTTTGAAAAAATATTTTTCGTTGATATACATCGTTATATACGATAGACTTAATTGACGTTGACAGAATTGGTTGCCCAACAATAAACTCAAGTTTAAAAAAAAAAGAAAAAAGAAATCGTTTTTATAGGAAAAAAAAAATCGAACCGTGTTGTGTGTATCGCATATACGCGGCGGAATTTATCGTCATCACCATTCAATCCCATGCGGCGGTAATCCCTTTAAATCGATGTTTCCTTCGCAAACACCTGCCTTCCAGGCGGCGTGTTCCACGTTTGCCCCCCCGGGAAAAGGCGGATTACGCCGCGTAGCGTTGAAGCGCGAGCTTGGTTTCGAAAAAATTTCTCTGCACCGTTCGATTATTTCAGATTACACGCGAAGGCGGCGGCCCATGACACTGCGCATCGGTCCTCGTCTGAGTTTCTCGAGCAAGAGCACATCCGCGCCGACCACAACCACAGACGGGGAATGGCGTGCACTTAGGTAAGTCTAATAGAATCTCCCTTGCTGTTTCCCGCAATTTCCGTTTCCCTAGCGGCGTATTTCGGTCGCGATCAACCGCGCCGTCATGTCTAGTCGCGCGCGCGCCCAAATAATAACGAACGGAAATTTCATCGGGAAAGCGGGTTTACATTGTTTTTTGAAATTGAACAGAGATTTACAGTAAATTATAATTCGTTATAATTCGTGATCTTTTGGACGTTAAACGTTTGAGACTCTCCAACGCGCTTATGTTGCATGTCTGAAATAAATTGCTGACGCAAGCCTGAGACGTAAAACGATTGCGGTTTTATATATATATATATATATATATTCTTTAGCGAAGCTTTAACATTTAGCGTTAGAATAGAATCGCTAAAATTAATCATCTAAAAGCGCGTCGCGTTTTCAATGCGTTTCTTTCGCTTTGGCTTTCCTTTACACAGATTGCCGCGTGAATAATTAATTGGTCTCGCCGATCACGGATCCGTACGGGTCCATACTGGAAAACAGATTCATGTATGTATGTTATTATCATGGTAATTTGATCGTGTATGTCACAATTACCATAAATTTGCATGCTGATGAAAGTGATCTTGACTTTGTCGTACAGCCATATATAAATGCGAATGCGCCCTGATCCATCGAAGATCCGACTATACGGGTCGGATAATTATGATTAAAATAACTTCGTAATTAACCAGTCGGTATTTAATAAGAAAATTATTCAAATATATCACAATATCGCACTCGAGTAAGGTGATACGTATTAACGCTCTTTGCGATTACTCTTATCATATCTTCTGCTTATCATTTCAATGGTACGTTCGTTTTAGCGCGTTTAAAATTCATCTCGTAAAACATTTAAAAATCTTAACTTATACGAAGGGTTTTAGGATAAAATAAAGACAAGCTAATTTACGAGTATTCTAATAAATTTTATTTGACTTTTAAGCTACACTCTTAATCTGTCAATTATATCAGCAGGATTATTATAGGATATTCCTGGATTACTTATCATTGCATTTCATTGTACGTCATATTGCCTTATCAGATTTTACCCCTTATCAACATCAGAAAGAGAGAAGTACGGACCTATCTTGTTGCGGAATATTCAGTTATTGGTTGGCCCTGTTATTTTGCCCTGTCGGTAACTCAGTGTCTATGTTTTTTGCCAGTATAAAATTTTTCGATATATTGGGCGTGTAGCTTGGTCTAACTAGAGTCTGGCTGATGGTTTCCCTTGTCGTCGGGATAGTTACCGACTGTAAAGTTTAGCTTTCTATCGATCAGTACAAATCGTCTCTTATACCAAACGAGCCACCAGTTTTCGCTTGTTGATATCTAAAATATCTGTCATTCTTACTCGATTGGAAAATAAAGTTTAAATATTTACATGGATTTTACACATGGATATGTGTATTTTTGTGTGAGAATGACTATATTTCAATTATTAATAATTATGATAATAAAGTTTTATCAAAATAATAAGGTGACCAACCGTCAATCATCTAAAAACATCGACGAGAGAATGATAAGAAAAACAAAAAAGGTGAAGTAGGGTGCGTTACAAATGGTTCGATTTTGAGAATGTGTTTCTCGACCATCTGTCATATATTGATATAACGTCATAAACTCTGAGGATCAAATTCTATGTTGCTAAAGCAGCAATTTAATCCCTCTTACTATATAGTGCAGAACAGTTTATCATATCAGATAGGGGAACGTTTCATCGTACGCTCTCGTTTAATAATATCATATTTTTTTCTTAATAGCTACACTAGAACGACACGAGTAAATAGACACTTTATTATTCAAACATATATTTTTATTTTTTAAAGAAGAAACAGATGATACGAAATATCGTAGTATTTTGCTGCCTCGTTACTTAAATAAAGATTTGCTTTGCGTAATTTGATATGATTTGACGACGACTCCCACTTGGATAATGAGAATCTATTTACTTATGTTCTAGAGTGTCAAGTATGTAGTATGAATCATGATAATTGTATGATAAAGCTATTATAAACATCACTTTGAAATGTTTTTCATAAATGATCTTTATGATGATAATCATAGAATTATTTGCTTATTTCTTCTTTAATGTAATCACAGTGCACTGTATTTGACAGTTGACTGTAGAACAGAACATAATTCAATTATATTTTGTAATGTATTATTATTATTATTATTATTATTATTATTATTATTATTATTATTATTATTATTATTATTATTATTATTATTATTATTATTATTATTATTATATATCTTGCATCAAGTAGTTCGAATGTAATGTAACATTAAAGATTCTCTTCAATTTTTATTTTTGCCGCAAGTAGAGAGAAATAAATTTCTCTGAAACGGATATTTATTTTAAAAAAAATTATTTAACAATTATAAATATAATGAAACAGAAAACGCAACTGTTTATCATATCAAAAATCGTTTATTGCATCCAAAAGTAATATTATTATGTCTCATCCGAGCTGGTGGCTCCCGCTATCAGGTGCGCTGGAATCACTTTGAATGCCACCCCATCACGTCAGAATATTCACCGAGATAGTATAATAGTAATTCTTCGTGATGTACTTCTTCGGCAAAAGAAGTATATAACGTCTCTATAATTTTCCAATATATTCTTGAGCCTATTGATAAAAATAAAAAAAATCCTTTCCATCTTACAAATACATACATACATACATACATACATACATTGATCCGACCATAAGAAAGTTGTCTAGTAACCTGGCGCGTCTGACAGCAGCCAGGCATCCTTAGAACTCCGCACGGGTTAGATCGCACGGCATCAAGATGTCGCGGTGATCGAGGAGTCGATGACACGACCCTGCCACGAGGAGTGGCACCCCGTGGCAGAGCTTCGCGCTTTGTTGTGACCGCGACGGCCTTGCGGACGGTCGCGCGCGCGTTTTCGCTCCGCGGGGTGTCCGGCTTCTTCGCAGTTTTCGCGACGGGAGAGGCGACGCACGCGCCCCTCGGCGCCGCTTCGCGCGTGGCTTCTACGCTGAAGTCATCGCTGATAGTCGCGCGGTAAACGTTGCTACGTGCTGCCGGAGAGGGTTTTTCAGAGCCACTCGACGGTGGCAAGTGAGTCACGCGGATCACGTCGGAAGCATTTTGCCGGAAATTCCGCGGGATTTCGATCGCGTCACGCCCGCGCCCGCCGAGAGCGCGCACGTTTGCGCTCGCCCGGCTTCGTCGCGACAGCCGGCCGCGCGCGGGCACATCGCCGTTAATTCGAGTGGTGTGACGTGAAACAGGCGAGACGCGGACGCAACGTGCAGCGACAGTTTTGCGCCCGCGGTGAAAAGGGGAGCGATAAATATTGCCGCGCGCGCGAGAGCGCTTTTTGACGTTTGACGGCTCCGGTTGTTGATCGAACGCTAATCCGCTGGTGTTGGAAAGTCATTTTGATCGATGTCATTTTATGGGATCAATTATAATTTACGGCAGCTCGACACACACTTTTCCGTGGATGACTTCCCGCGCGTGACACTCCGATGCCGTTTCGATCAACTTTTGTCGGTCGGCATTTTGGAAGGAACATATGGTGGACGAAGTCGCGCGTTTCGAACAAGTTTTACTATTATATTTACTTGACGTGTGTCTAGTCGTATAAGAAATCACGTGTGAACATTATATCAGGGCTCTATGTATAGCCCGATAACTTTTTCCTACATCGAAAACTTTTCCATTTTCCAAACTTGATTATTACAAGCGATTACACACAACGGAGATGAAAATCCGTATTCTTTTTCGTGTTTAAAGTTTTCAGATTTTATTCTTAAAATGTAAAGATATAAATTGTAGTTAATATCTATTAAATTCCGCATTTTATTTATCACTGAATATCTATCGTATTTAAATTTGATTTGTCTAATGTGAAAATCGCGTTACAAAGAATTCATTATAAGAATTGCATACATTATATTTAATTTCAAATATGCTATAGCAACATAGAATTAAAAAAGTCAATTTAAACATTAAAATACGAGTCGAAAATACGAGTCAAAATTTCTTTTGTTTATTGTTAAACATTATTTAGAGAAAATTCGACGAGCGGAAATAATTTCTTTGTTTTACATTTTCGATTTTGACATCGCAAGATTGTCGTCTTTTTTCTGTAACAGAGATAAATTTTGGCGGAAAGTTCGACGAGAAAAGCACATGGGAAATCTTGGGAATTGATGTTCGTTGACTCGGACGATAGTTGGGATGAAGACGATCGTTTCGATCGAAAGTACCGAGCGAGACTAATATGATTCGCGCGCGAAATTGAGATAAACGCCAAAGATTTTCGCGCCAAGTTTTCCCCTGGACGTTATTAAATTGTGCTTTTCCGCCCGAAACAATTATACCGACAAACACAGTATTAACTGCATCCGGGAAATTCCGTTATATATCAATTATTTGTATTACGAAATATTTTTTTATTTGATATATGTAATAATTTGGAGGCGATCGATATCGTGACAAGATGGAGAAAGTTATCGGTAGATGATTGAGCGAAATAATAATCCAAGTGCGACATGCTAAAAGGAGCCGTCATCGCTCCGTCACTTCTCGAAAATAAGTTAACAAAAAAAATATCGACAGAGTATCGTAAGGAGCAGTCGTATTCTAGAATCGGAGCAGAGGGAAGCGCATTACTTCGTCGTAAACTGAAGCGATCGTAAATGCATTATACGACGCGATCTCGTCGCACGACGAAATATGATTTCCGGACATCGATGCGCGACGCTCTCTCGAGTGCTCTTTTTTCGCGAAGGTACAAATACGTCCGCGCAGCGCAGTAGAAAGCAAGTCGAATGTATGGAATAAAGAGCGGAGATCCAATTTGCGCAATATTCAGTTCAGAAATGGATTCCCTCTCAAATGCGGACTGGAAATGCATTGCGTGCATCGTAAGTAAAATGGACAAGGTGCCCAGTCGGGTTCTGGTGGCGATTTCCGGTCCGACGGTGGAACTTCTTCGGGCGTGAATCGTCGTTGCTTTTGGGTTGCAATTGTAGCGGGCGATTTTCAGCTATCGCAAACCGTATTTTGAAATCCAGTGTTTACGGTATATAAACGCATTTTTCGATTTTTATACAGCTTGTTTTTAATCCTCTTTTCTCGTTGGATATTTTTATTTCCGCATTTTTTCGCGCGGAACGGCAGATGTCCATGATTTTTGTCGCATGATAAGCACAGAAATCGAGGCTTAAGTGTCCGACGACGTGAAAGCCTACAAATTAACAGACTTTTTGAGAGAGAAATTCCTGCCTCTATTATTTCTGACACTTTATTAATGGGGGAAGGGTCATACCTCGCGTCGACGCTCGTTATTGTTTTTTTTTTGTGTGTTAAGAACGGGCAACAAAATTGTGCTTGACATATTTCAGAAGCCTGAAATATTACGAAACATTATTTTTGAATTTTTGTTATTTGTACGCCATTTAATTCATATCAGCGTTCATAAAATTGAGATAATAATTGCTTTTTTTTTTTTCATCCATTCTCTTTTCATCTTTTTAAAACCATTGAAGAGAAACATAGTTCTATGCTCGCTAATATATATAAAACATGAAGTTCCGAGTTAATTAAAAAGCTGAATTTTAAGTTTTAAGAAAGTTAGCCCTGCCAACAAGATACATCGCGTTGTGGAACCCACTCTTCGCTCAACTGCTTTGGATAATTTTTTACAGCAACGGCTTTAAGAAAGAATATAACCGAAAAGTTACCCGGTGGCTTTACTATACTTTGTGTAAGATTGTCTTTAAGGAATCGACCACGGGGACAATCACAGTTTCTATTTAAGTAATTTAATACCCTGCTACTAATGCCGCGTACGCGTATTGGAGAGAAATTCTGCGTGTAATAAGCTCTTTAAAATCGGATCGCTCTGCGTTTGAACGTTCAAAGCGAAAAAGCTTTTTCGAAATAAGCATGATTGAATGAATGACAGCGTAGAGAAATTTGAAATAAAAATAAAAAGTTGAAAATCCTTTCCGTGCATTTTCAGTTTTAAAGGGCGCGGAAAAAAACGTGTGGCGATCTCCATTACCAATTTGTGAGATTTTATGCAATTTTGCCGTTAGTATGGAAAATTGTGTTGCAATGAAAGACATCTCCTTTCCCCCCTGTCTTCTTTTCACATGATTCACTTTTGAAGAAAATCGTCTTTCATAATAATCGCCTGTTTTGCGATACATCTGGAGACGAGGCTGACGCATATTAGATTGCGTATCTGCATTATGAAATTTATGTACATTTATGATGTTTTAATGTAATATTTTTATTCTTTTTGTGTCGTTTCTTCTTGAATGTCACGACGGCAATGGGAATTATCTGCATTTTCTTGTCGTGCCGTAGGACAAATGAGGAAAAAAGTTTCTTTGAGCAAAGTTTCGCATTTCTTTCCCTGCGCGGAATCATGGCTCTCTCTCTCTCTCTTTCTCTTTCTTTTTCTTTTTTTTCATAGTTATTTCCCTTCTGCCGGCACAATAATGGAATAAGGATTCTGTTTTATGGCGGTTCGCAGTTTTGTGGTGGCTATGGCGGCATGATAACCTGTGAACTGAAACGCAACGAGTTACATCCGCGATAGCGTTGCGTCGCAGTGCGCATTTCGAAACCTTTACCCCTCGTATTTTTCGCTTTTATAACAATTGCATTTGCACGAGGCGGCCGTGTTGTGACGTATATTTCTGGGAAATTGGCGTGATTGTCGAATGTAT